GTAGAAAAACACGCACGGGCATGTGAGGGACAAGCCAAATTGACACAGCATGGTGACGGCGTGTGATTACAACGGGATGAAGCGACTGTAAAACATACTGAGCTAATTTCATAAAAGGCGGCAATAAAGTTCTTCAACCTCTCACTGCGCAGAAGCGCGTGGGGATGTCAGGAGCCAGCCGTCTCAAGTTGGACAAGTTTGTCTAGACCTACTTTTAATGGTCGAGGGACATTACTTTTATAGCCTTTCGTTTTTTAAATGGTCGAGGCTATTTAAAGAATAGTCGAGGAAGCACAGTGGGGAGGGCTTCCGCAGGGCTTCTGCGAAACCCTTGCAGTCTGGCCGACTCCGAGGCTGCTTTTGCCGCATGTTGCAATCTACACTGATCTTGCTCTGACTTTAGCATTGGCCCTCGCACCCTTTGGCGTTAACCGGATGTTACCCTGTTGGGATTCTTGGAGAATTCCTTGATACGAGCGGTGCTTCCGTCGAGGTTTCACAATACCTTGCGTGCGGCGTCCACGCGCCGAAGGGTACGCTTGCGTTGTTAGTGTGTGACGCGCTTGCGCTCCTGCGCGCGCATGTCAGGCTTCCGCAGCGGGTCTGCAAGTGTTGCGCGCGTGCTCCCAATTGCTGCATACAGCAAAACCGCTGGCCTTGTAGTCTTGGTGGCTTGGATGCTGCTTTTGCGCAATGTTGCAATCTGCGCTGTTCTGACATTACCTCTGGCCCTGGGACCCTTGGCGTTGGCTGGATGTTACTCTGTTGGGGTTCTTGGCATTTAGTTTTCCTAGGCTTTCCGCAGAGCTTCCGCGGAGGAAACTTGTCGAAAACCATTCACGGTCTACATGAAATCGGCCGGCAAAATTGGCATCGCTTCAGATTGACATGGCTGCTAGCTGCTATGAAACTTCGACCACGTTTATTGCACCTGGTTGATCATAGCTCCCCACAAGCCTATTGCACTTGGGCAGAGCACTCACGCCGAATCACATGGCACACAACCAAGACTGAACGCCGGAGTATGTGTTTGGCGTCGGTTTCTCTCCTGCAAACAGCACGCCGCGCTTGCCCCAAAACTTCACAACGCGCCTCCAAATGATGGAATGACTGCTATTTGACATGGCTGCTGCGCAGAGCCACAGCTAGTAATAGAAGTTGGAACTGCGTCAGGCTAACGTGGACTGCTGCCTCAAGCGGAGGGGTTTTGAGCAAGCAGCTCATAGGGGTGCATCGAAACTTATTTGCTGCACTATGCACCAGTGACTGGATAATGCCAAGTGGTGCTTACACTCTGCTCGGGGACGATGCGTGGCTCTTTGGCTGAATTGTTTGGAAGCCAACCCAAACTGAAAGCCTGAGCGCGTGTGTTGTAGCAAAAGAGACGTGTTGCTACGCTGAGGATGATGTTTACTGAAAAACAAACAACTGGACAAATTCGGCAATAAAGAGAGGCTAGCGAGTTCTGACTGTGGCTAAGTGTATTTCAATTTAAACATATCAAGGTCTTCAGCCTCGTGCAGCTGAACATCATGTGTTGCGCTGACCCCAAGCCTCACAGCTCCTAAGAAGCATTGCGATGGCCTGCGTCCTTGCAATCCTGAGGGCCTAATCACAATCCGCAATCCGCTTAATCCTTGTGCTGGTTGCCACTCTTCTTAATGTGAAATCCGCGCTGCAAATTGCGGGTCAAAGCACAATGCTGGAGTATCGAAAATCTGCGCAACCCACAGTCTGCAATGTGCAGCCGGAAAATCTAATCCGCGAACCGAATAATTCGCAATCCACGAATCATTGGGTATGAGGTTTGGAACAAGTTATGCATCTGACATAGCTGTGCAGAGCTGGATTCCAGGCACATGGCTTCCAGAATGGTTTGTGCGCTCAAGCAGCCAGGTTGTCCCAACTCCTGTGCGGGGTGTCCAATGGAGCGGCCTTGGAAGCCGACAGCCAGGAGCGTCTAGCTGTCTTCACATCCGAAGTCTGCACCCAGCACACACGCCCCTTTTGCAGCTGCACTCCTCAATATATGTTGGCGCTATCTATGAGTGGAATTCTGCTGAAAACAAGAACACACAAACATACCGCTGAGCGTCTACCATCGCCGATTTCCGTTGGGGGGGGGTTGTAAGTCCAAGTAGTCCAAGTGCAACAAGATGAGGCATCCATCAGGTGTTGCGCTTACCTGGAAATGGACCCCCAAATGAAAGCTACGACCGAAACCATTCAAAGTGCACACGAGCACCATGCATAGTGCTCTTAAAGGCCAACCAACACGGAAAGTCGCAGTGGTCTCTTACAAACAGCCCAGTCAAGCAGGCGTCGGCGCTATTTGGGTATTGACGCGGTCTGGACCGAGCTCTGCAGCGCAAAGGTCTTTTGCAAGATCAGTCAAAGTTGACACTGTCACGGCATGGTTCCGCATAATTCCTAATGTTTCTTTCCTTCACGTCATCATGATCGCGTCGCCTCAAGTATCTGGGTTGGGGGTAAGTGCAGGCGTTGCTGATAGTGATTGTTGGCAGGCTTTCAAGAGAGACGCTCTGACAAGCATTGCTGGACAAGGTTTAAGCCTCCCGCTATGATGGATTCCGCTGGGTTTATGCTGGGCAGGCCCAGCGTCACTGAGGGCTTGGGCTGTCTCCTCGGCATTGCTGGCATACGCACGCCAAGATCAGCTTGCGTGTGCCGTTGCTTGAGATGAGGCGGCGTCAAACGCACACACACACACACACAAACACAACTTCAAACACACATTTTCAGAGCCGAGCCTGGAGCCATGTGGATGGCGTCCAGGTTTGCAAACGCTGCATCTACGACAAAGCCAAACACGGTGTTTTTCCCGACGCGACAGGATTGGGGTTGTTAGATTTGAAATGACATCCGACCTCGGCGGAGCCGGATCGCCCGCCGCCGGCAGAGCCTGTGACAAACAGCTGCAACAGAGCCTGTGACAAATAGATGTGGCAGAGCCTGTGACAGACAGACGTGACAGACAGCTGTGACAGAGCTTGTGACGGCCTGAGGCTCCGGACAAAGGCCACGACAGCCCGGACCCACCCAGGACAGCCCCGAGCCCGAAGCCTGACGGAGCCTCAGCGCAGAAAGTTTAAAGACTTGATCTTGCCTGGCTTCTCTGACCAGGTGGGGAGGGAAGAGGCCTGCCTGAAGAGCTGGAAGCGAGATTTGCCTCCACATTGTCCCCAAAGCCCTTGGCAGCGTCTGTGAGCTTGCGCCGCAAATGCTTGTGCTCTGCTTGCTGCCATAGAACAGCCGCCGACTAACTTCACAGAGTGGGACACGCTTGGAGCGCAGGAAAAGCGTGGTATGTCGTAGGTGGGGATTGTTCGAAGGAAAGTAATTCTTGGTCCTTGCATCTGGGGACTGAGCAAATATTGCGACAGATTACTCTCTTTCTTGAATTTACGGCGCATGTTGGTGATAAGCTTGCTTAGGGCTGGTTTTTCTTAGGGCTGGATCCCATCACCTGGACCATGGTCAGGCGGCCACCCGAGCACCGGCCTCGCTCGAACCCACTGGTGCAATCAGGGTGGGTTTCGGCTGGCTTAGAGCTTAGGGGGTGGGTCTTGGATTGGCTTGGGGTTCATTGAGGCTAGGCAAAGGGCTGATATCCTGGCTGTTATTGGGTGGGTTTGGGGTTGATTGTGGGTGGGTTGTGATAGGGTTGGGGCTGACTTGTGCCAGGTGTTTGGCTGGTTTAGCAGTGGCTGGGTTGCTTAGTTGCTGCGTGAGCAGCTGACTACCTTGTCTTCCGCAACGCCAAAATATGTTTGATCTCGTTTGGACTCGTTTAGACTCGTTTTGCAACAACTCCGAAGCACACCTTGTAGTTTCTGCACGCTCAAGCCTGCAAATCGCGACTTGCGGACTCGCGTTGGACTCGCTTTGGTGTGCTGGCGCAACAAGCCTCATCACCACAGTGATCTCGTGTCATCTTGTGTTGCATAATTTTGTACAACGCGATCTCGCTCTGATCTCTGATCTCGTTTCACCGCAACTCAACTTTTACGGTACTCTCACCGTATCAATGTTAGGCAACAGGAGTCTGGGAGCCCCTGCGATTCTCTGGAGACAATGGTTGGTCACTCCCTCCATTTAATCTGTAGCGGATTACTAAATTTTCATCGTCGAAACTGGGTCCCAAAGCCAGTATGCTGACCCATCAGCGGAATCCTGCTCAGTTGCCCAAAGAACCTAATTATAAAAGGTTAACCTTTTGGGACCGTTGCTAAAAGTAAACCCAGAGAGACAAAACCAAAAGGTTAAAAGGTCGGCTTTGAACAACTGAAACTGATGACTCTTCTTCACATTCCAAGGGAAGTCCAATTAATATTACCAAACGTGAGACATAGCCATGTTTCACCCATGATTAGTTTCAAGTTTGGTCCATAGCCAAGTCATAGTAAACAGCCTCCCCACCTCCAAAGCGAGGAGTGGAACGTCCCCAGTTCTATCAATCACCATGTCTCGTTGAACAAAGCCGCCCCACCAACCCACCCTGGCACTTTTCTGAAACTTCCCCTTCCCGGCCCCATTTGTGTGTGTATGTGCGTGGGATCCTGTGGGTGTGTGCATGTGTGTTTGGTTCGGGAAATCCCTTTCTGGTTCGTGCTCAGGGCACAGGGAAACCCCAAATGTTTGGGTCTCTTTTCTTTTGAAATCAAAATGGCTGGCTTCCTCTTGGCTTCCCTTCAATTCCAGCCCCAGAAGAACACGCGGACCCGAAGAAACATCAGATATTGCCCAACAAACAGGGTGACTTCCCCATGGCAAGTTTGAGGGTCCCCTTCAAAATCAACAACCTCCAAGTGAAAGCCCCTCACTTGAGAAAAAAGAAAGAAAGACAGAAATAAAGAAAAAAGGAAAGAACACTTCTCCAAGTGAAGGCCTCCCACAAAAACACACACCTTTTGCAGGGTAACCACAAACCGCGAAACCCGAATTTCCCCCGTCCCGTCCCACCCCAAGTTCTCTCTCGCCTGGAAGTTCTCGGGCTCTTCGAAGGCCGCCTTTGCCGCGGGCCAGCTCACCTCCCGGAAGCCTACAGCGAGGGCGAGGGCGAGGAAAAACCTCCCAGATTTGGGGGGGGAAGCTGGCTGTTGTTTCCTCATGAAGCCGTTTTTTTTCTCCCTCCCGATTTTTCGGGAATATGTGACCTCATTGATTGAATCAGTCTGTTCCAAGTGCATGTGTTGGTCCATCTTTCATCTCTGGTTCGTTAGCGGGCTGCAAAAAAAACGTCCCTGCCATTTGCAAGTACGCGAACCACAAATCCTGGAAATACAGCACATTTATGAAGGTACGGCCCTTCATATTAGCTCGGTTGTCGCCTTAAAACAAAAGTACACTGTCAGTGACTCATATTGCAGGGCTCAGCAGAAAACACCAACTTGAAATTGGCCTTCCAGGTAGAAAAGGGGGGATACAGGGAACCCTGCATCGCGGTGAATGCCCGGTTTGGAAGGGAACAAGAACCCCCTCTAACTTACCGTGCTTCACCATAGCTTTTGTGCTGTATGTTTGGAGTGTGTGTGTGTGTGTGTGTGCGGGCTCTGTCCCTGTGCGGGTGGGCAAAGATCGGACCCCTCTGCCTTTCTCGTGTGTGCGTTTTGAGGGTATCATTAGGGCAAACAGGTCACTTAGGGATCGCTCAAACGGTTCACTTAGGGATCACGGTCACTTAGGGATACACGCTCACTTGAGGATCACATTCACGGATCACTTAGGGATCACATTCATTGATGATGGGGGTGGGGAGGGGGGGGGATGATAAGCACACCCGCTCAACAGCTGCAGACCAGCCTGCTCCTTTACCGGATTACAAAGTAACATGGCTCTGGGGAGGGGGTGGGGGGGGGATGATAAGCACACCCGCTCAACAGCTGCAGACCAGCCTGCTCCTTTACCGGATTACAAAGTAACATGGCTCTGGGGAGGGGGTGGGGGGGGGTGATAAGCACACCCGCTCAACAGCTGCAGACCAGCCTGCTCCTTTACCGGATTACAAAGTAACATGACTCTGGGGAGGGGGTGGGGGGGGGGCATGGTAAGCACACCCCAACTGCTGCAGACCAGCCTGCTCTGTTACCGGATTACAAAGTAACATGGCTCTGGGGGAATTGGGGGGGGCATGGTAAGCACACCCGCTCAACTGCTGCAGACCAGCCTGCTCTGTTACCGGATTACAAAGTAACATGGCTCTGGGGAGGGGGGGGGGGGGCATGGTAAGCACACCCGCTCAACTGCTGCAGACCAGCCTGCTCCTTTACCGGCTTACAAAGTAACATGGCTCTGGGGAGGGGGTGGGGGGGGGTGATAAGCACACCCGCTGCAGACCAGCCTGCTCTGTTACCGGATTACAAAGTAACATGGCTCTGGGGGGGGGGGGGTTGGGGGGTGCATGGTAAGCACACCCGCTCAACTGCTGCAGACCAGCCTGCTCTGTTACCGGATTACAAAGTAACATGGCTCTGGGGAGGGGGTGGGGTGGGGGGGGGCATGGTAAGCACACCCGCTCAACTGCTGCAGACCAGCCTGCTCTTTTACCGGATTACAAAACAACATGGTTCTGGGTGGGGGGGTTTGGGGGGGGGGTTTGGGGGGGGGCATGATAAGCACATGCGCTCAGCTGCTGCAGACCAGCCTGCTCGTTTTCCGGAGGGGTGGGGGGGGCATGGTAAGCACACTGCTTCATCCCAGCAAATTCATCTCTTTCTGGGGGTGGGGGGTGGGGTGGGGGGGGGGGATGATAAGCACACCCGCTCAACTGAACCAGCCCAGCCTGCTCTGTAACGAAATGGGGGCATGATAAGCACAACCGCTGAACTGCTTCATCCAGCAAATGCATCTCTTTCTGGGGGTGGAGGGTGGGGTGGGGGGGATGATAAGCACACCCGCTCAACTGAACCAGCCCAGCCTGCTCTGTAACCTAATGTGCAAGTTCATCGGGTTCTGGGGCATACGCCGCAGGGCATACATGTCAACACGACATGCACACAACCACATACATGGACTCGCCAGCATACATAGTAACATATGTCATGAAACATACACGTCACATATGTCATGCGATATACACGCCGACAAGCACAAACAAGCGCATACATGCTCGCGCATGCGCGTATATAAACATACATCGCGAGCAAACATATCAACACGCATGCATGCGCGACAAGCCTTCTGCAAAAAGCGATCCCGGAGCGATCCATTTGCGCGATCCCTAAGCGAACCATTCGCGCGACGCCTAAGCGACCCACTGCCCATCATTAGCTTGCTTTAAAGGGACCCAAAGCCACCACGAAGTCAAAACCTCTCTCTGCTTAGCCCGGGGCCCAAAAGCATCAGCACCGACTCCACGATGCCCCGCACCTCGACGTGTGAAACACGACATGGTTCCACGACAAATTCAAGCGTGATACCCCTCCTCCCACTAACATGGCGGTACGTGGAAGACCAGTTTCCTCTTCAAGGGCCATCTGTCAAGGGCCATGTCAGCGGGAGGGAGGGTAATTGGCAGATCTCTCAAAGCCGGGAAACCGATGTTGATCCCAGACTTCCAACAACGGAACTGGACAGGGGGGTCCTCCAAACAGACTGCAGTCTTCAGAACCTCTCTGTGGTTGGAGGAAAGATAGGGCAGGGCCACCTGTGATATCAAGGGCATCCCTTTAAAACGGCCCCACTGTGTTGTGACACAAAGGGCTATTTCCCACAGCCATTCTTAAACAAGTGGGAGCAACTGTTCAAGTGCAAATTAGCAGGGAACCCTATAGGGGTGTTCCCACAAAGGAGCTTGCTCTGGGCCGGAAGGACCTGCAATACAAGGCTCGAACCTTGACGAACACAGTCATCAAGGGGGACACGAAGGCACAGGCCGTGGCTTTAGATGCGGTGCTGGTAACAAAATTCAGCCGTAGGCCCGATTTCGTGCTGGGGAACCTTTTGCATGTCTCCTGCGCGGAAAAGAGTGCTGAAATGGTTCACATATGTGGGTGGTCCCGTTCAGACCTGGGAGACCAGCTGGGCAAAGTTGCAAGAGGAATGCATGTCCGATCTGCACAAGCCCCAGCCTCTCTTACCCCCACCCATATTTGTTTCGTTTTGCCCACTACCTCAAGGGCAGGATTGTGGGGGGTCGAATCCAGCTCATCTAGAGTTAGGTAACGCAAATGGAATTGTGGTGGTCACCCTGCACCCGACCTCAGCTTCGGCCCTTAAGAGAACCTTGCATCGTTGATGTCACTTGAGAGATTCCAGACGGTTCCAGCCTCCAAGCTAAGCATTCAGGGACCCAGCAAGGGAATACCATGCTTTACATGTGATGAAAATCAGTGGTTAAGCACTCTGAATCATGTTTCAACGTCGTTCAGTCGCCGTCTTCTGCAACAAACCAACCTGTTGAACCCCTAACATTCTTCCAACCATCTCCATCTCCATTTCTTTGGCTTCTCCCAGAACCTCGAAGCCTCGTTCTGATTTTTCCCCCATCTCCCCCCCCTTTGGAGGCTCCGCAAGGCTCCGGCCGCGGGAGTGGGTCTGGCCAAACCGGCCAGCTCCAACAGCTCCTGGGCCCGGAAGCTGATTGAGACAGGTCTCACCTTGGCTCACCTCGCCCAAAAAAGAAAACAAACAAATGCAAGGAAGAAAAAGCAATACGTAGCACTTCAGCGGGGGATTTCAACCACTAGACTCACTAGACCACAACTTGCAAACATGTGATAAATGCTTCCCAACGACCATGTAACCCGCGCCAACAACTTGGCCGAGGAATCAAGCTTTGGGTTTTGGGGCTGGGGGTTCCCGACTCCCTGATCGAAGCAAGTTGGAGGTCTGTGCTTTATGCCTCAAAGGATATGGAATCCCAAATGGGCTTTACTTTTGGTATCCAAACCCAACAAGGGTTCCCTCAAAAAAGGGGCAGTTGGGCCTCGTTTTTATGGGTACCCTCTTATGGGTCCCCAAAACAACGGAAAGGGTCCCATCTTTGGTGTGAGCACATCCAGCTGTGGGTGCCAGGGAGGCCAAGGCATAGGATCCAAACATTCATCCGCGTTGCCAAACATATTCTAGGGTTGATTCCCCATTATTTTCAGCCGTCGTTCTTTTCAATAACCAGCCAGGTCCCCAGGGTTTTTGGTTTTCTAGAAAGAAGGATCCCTGGAAAGAATGGGGAAGTTGCCCCTAGAAAAATGCCGGTTCTTCGTTTTGCCCGGTTGGTGCCGGCGTCGCTTGCCGGTTTCGTAAAAGGAACTCAACTGCGCCCAGTTGGTACCTATCCCCAACAGCCTCCGGTTGATTCCTCCCTGAAAGCCGCCCCAAACCACCACAGACCCTACCTGGGCAGAGACCCCATAGCTTTCGGCAGTTGGGGAAAAAGGAGCCCCTATTCTTGACAACCCCCACATGTCATCACAAAGGAATGGGTTCATCTAAGCAACTTTCGTGGGTCAGGTCATAATTCCCAGAGAGGGCTGTCAAATCACATATTATAGGTTTATCTCAAGTTAGGGGGTCTCCTACCCCCGAAAACGGTGGTTCCCTTTATAGGTCCCCTTCCAGTTCACTCAAGACGGGAGCCCTCAAAAAACACACACACACACCCACACAATTATACGGCAAAACGCGAGGACATCCTGGTTTGAATTCAAGATATCGAGGTGACAAAATGAGCAGAACAGCAGAACCCGAGTTAAATGCTTCTCCTCTGCATGCGACATCTACCACAAAACCAAACCAAAAGGAAACCAAGGACACTCGCTGTGTGAGGTGAATAAATTTCCATGGGGCAAACAGGCCAATAATTTTGTTCCTGAAATGGAAGATCTGGTTTCAAACACCAAGTGTTAAAATCTTTTGGACTCAAGTTTTGCATGTAAACATCACAAATTCCATAGTCCTAGGCTTGAAACACGCCCAGAACTGCCTTGCCTCACGTACCCTACCTTTGAATCCATCCAAACATGGCCTTGGTCTTCTAGCTTAAAAATGCTTAGAAGCAAACGGAGATGGCATAGCTTGGGATCTTATCACCCTTTCTCTTTTGTTCCGTCCCCCCTATAAGTCCAGAATTTGTTGGACCGGAAAGCGAATTAATGGTGGATGGGTGACCAAGAGATAAGAAGTAGAGTCATATCATGGTAACTCGTCCCTTCATCCCACTCTCTTCCACCTTGAAATGAACATGACATGATTGATGGCAACCACATCTTGAGTCTTTCCTATCCTAAACCAGCACATGACATCCTTTTCCTTTCGCTCCCCTCGATTCCCTCGCGACCATCGGTCATCTCCTCACACATAGACGAAACATAGAGATAGAAAGGGTGGGTTGAGCTCCGGAAACTTCCAGGTGCCTCAGTTCTTACCTTCCCACCAGAAGAAAAGTGACTTGAGCTGCTTCTTCATTCAAGACTGAAAAAAAAAAACAGAAGGGCCCTATTTGTCAGAGGCCTTGTAAGATTCAGTCAATCGGGAGACCTTCCCATTTCATATCGCACTCGGGGTCAGAGGTCCTCTGCTGACACCGTCTCTGCGCAGGCCTTGCGGGAAGTTGGGAGCAACGGGCACCCAAAGGAACGTTCTCCAAAACAGTGGCACTTGTGCTTTCGCGAGTTTACCTTCACACAAATAGACTCACAGCAGCGCCACTGTTTTGCGAAAGGGTAACCTCCAAAACACACAAACACAATGACAAGCAAAGGCGGCAAGCAAAGGTGCCGCTTGAACTGGGGGCAGCTTACCCTTTGTTTGCCCCAAAGAGGAGTTTCTCTATTGCCACTGAAACTGTCTTGAGCAAAGGTAGGCGTGCCCCAAAACTGGGATGAGCTTCTTTACCCCAAGTCGGTGAGCTGGAAATCCTTGGCCTTTCGCGAGTTGGGACACGCAACACGCGCAAGGCAAACCGTAGCTCTGGAATAACACACTCACCTTTGGGGACCTCTGAGCATGGACGAACGCGGGAAAACAAACATGTCAAAAACTCAGCTTCCAGAGAGTTTGAAGGCGGGCACAGGCTGGACTGGTATCCTTCCAGACGCAGCACCCATCTCTGCACTTTAGAAGCGCTTCCTGTATGTACACATGCAGACTGCAGTGAATGGCGTCTGTCCAGCTCTCAAATCGGACTTGCACTTTGCTTGGGAACTGCCCAAAGTCTTCTTAATTGTTCACAGCTGGGCAGAGAAAAGCGCTGGAATAATTATCGCGATTGAACACCTCTGGTTGAGACAACCAAGCGAACTGCAGGGCTCCTAGTTTCAACAACGCCCAACATAAACACCAATGAACCCGTGAGCCCATGATACTGGCTCCAGTACAAACTTGGCCCACCCCGTCTGCGACCAGGGCACTGCCACGCGGTCCATGTTCGCACCCGGCCTCAGGATGCGTGAAAGCACACAAAGCACATCTCGTGACTGGTGGACCCTTTTTGGGTTAATGTAAGCCCAACAAAAACAAGTTTTGGAGGCTCCCCCGAATTTTGAGAAACACGATCACGGAGGATTCTCAGAATGACTTATGACCCCGAAGTATCGAAAAGGGAAATCTTGAAAGAGAACCAACCTGTGCCGACACGGGAAATTTCGAGAGACCTGCATCAGCTTCCTTTCTTATCAGGGAAAGAATGGGACATTATCCTTTGAGAAACACCGGACTGGGCCTTGGATAAAACCCAAAGGGGCATCCATTCAGGAAAGGTTGTTCGCACCCTAGCAGGTTCTTCCTTCTGCTGGGGGCGACACCCGAATATCTGATATTGTCACCAGAAACCGATCGACCGACCAAACCAAATCTGATAGGAAACGGCCCACAGACTGCAACCCCAGGTAATACTGTCCGCTCACATGGCGGTACGTAACCTGGGCGCTCATGTTGCCTAACGTAGGAACCCAAACAAGCTTGCTGCTTCGATAGGGAGTGAGGGAAGGACCCCAACCACCCAGCTGGTGGTTTCCTAGATCCATAGCTTCATGTCCCAAACTTCCACATGGGTTCCTTGCCGAGAGCTGGCTACTGTAGCTGGCTTCCGGCCCTTTTCCTGGGGTAAGACTCTGCCACTTTCACATTGACATTTGAGGGAACTGTAAACTATCGAAAGAAACATGGGCTTTCAAGAAAACAAATCGGCGTTAAGACCTTTCCTTCGATACAGGAGTTCCATTGAGGGTACCTTTTCTTGCCAGCACCAAAGCAAAACGCCCACGTTTGGGAGACAAAGCCATATGCGACGGACATGCAGTTTGGGATTCTCCTATTTGGAGACAATATGTTCATGCCTGACAAGGCAAACATTCTTCCTCCCCCAATGTAGAGTGTGGCTCAAAACGTCAATGCAGCAACATGACCCTGCTGGGTTCAACATAAGGGGTCGGAACAATGAACTAATTGCCCATCCCCTTTTGGTTTTCCTTCGGGTGAATGAAAACTCGTGAGATATATTTTTCGCACCCAGTTGCAAACAACTTGGGCAGCCGGACAATCTTGCACGCTCTTGTGGTTGCGGCTGCATCCTTTGTGGTTGCAGCTGCGGCTGTGGCTGTGGTTGCAGCTGCGGCTGTGGCTGTGGTTGCAGCTGTGGCTGCAGCTGTGGTTGCAGCTGTGGCTGCGGCTGCGGCTGTGGTTGCGGCTGGTATGTCTGTGAAGCTGCCTGTGGCGTTGGCAGCGGTGTAGGTTGCGGTGTTGGCTGTGGAGTGGGCTGCGGGGTTGGCTGTGGCTGTGGGGCTGGCTGTGCTACTGGCGTTGTCACCGGGGTTGGCAGCGGTGTCGGTTGCGGCACTGGCTGTGGCACTGGAGGTTGCGCTGGCTGCTGTGTCAGCGCTTGGGCAAGCCTGCGCCAATTGCAAGTTGCCGGACTTCAGACCCGAAAGGCAGCCAAGGAACTTAGCCAAGCCTGTCTCCGCCCTTACGCATGAACTCAGAACCAGCTCATCTCTGTTGTCCTTTCACAAATCAGAATGTTCGGACGGTCAGCGCTTCCCACCCTGCCTCTGTGACCGTGAACCTGGCAGTCAAGGAACTCAATTGTCACGGAGGGGGGGGGGGGGGGTATAGGGGGGTCTATGGGTGGGTTTGAAACCTTATTTCGGTGACATTCAGTGACGCAACGCTTGCGATTTCGAAACAAACCCATGTCAACATCCTTAGAGGGCAGAAACCTGCTCTGCCCAAAGGCAATGCTCGTCGACCTAACAAGTTCAAGCGATTGTCCTGCGTAAGGCAAGAATAAGTAGAGCCTGAAAAACGTGCTCCCACAAAGTGATATGAAGCCTTGTGAATTTCGTGATGAACCAGCTAACTAGTGCAGGGTATTGTCCACAGTAACCTGCTTGGTTTCAGTTAAACAAATGCGAAAGCTAGGCACCGTTTTCCAGTTTTCGGCTTCAAATTTGTACCAGGGGGCCCACCTGTTTGTTGGGCGGTTGTTTGGGCGGTCGTTAGGTCTCGTTAAAATTCTTGCCCCCTTCCCCTCCCCTCCCCTCGGCTCCTCCTCCCCTCCAGTACACTCCCCTCAGGTTGGTTTCCTCTAGGTCTTTCAAGCCATCCAAAACCGCGAGAAAACCGGAGCCCTGCCTTCAGGTCGCCGGATGGGGCTCTCCAGTCTGTGCGACCTAGCCCCAGAAAAGTCTGCCAGCCCCCAGTGGCTGGAGAGGAATCCCATTGAAACCCAAACAGCCCAAACCTCCTGGGAAAAAAGGACTCTTTCTTGTGGAATCTTAAAAGAACGCCCTTCCCACCAAAAAAAACACTGGGAAACTGGGCTGAGAACAAACATGAACATTGGTTGGTTCACAATCGTCCATAGATATTTCCTGGTGAAATTACAAGCCTCATTTCTTGCTCCGTCCGCGTGTTGAATGAATTTCATCCGCTCCAACCATCACTTTGTCCAGATCGCAGTAAGGCGTCTCCTTGACTGGGCACATCCTGGTGTGGCCTTTCAGCAACGTTCAAAACGACTTGACGCCTATGCCCATGACAGACTTCCTTGCAAGTGCATCCATCCATATCAAGCTCGGCCGCATCAGCTTGCGGATCACCGGGCGCTTGGAAGATCTGGCGATCTCCAAGTCCTCCCCTTGCGCTTGCGCTCAAGGTCCACAAGAGGCGCATTCCTAAACGACGCCCGCATTTGTCCAAGGAAATCCGCGGCATCAGTCTTTTAGTTCTATTTGTAGGGAGTACAAACGGTGCCGTGAATCCTGTTGGCAGGGATCGTCTGATTTGTTCACCTCTTGAGCGTGACTGCTGAGTTGGATTTGCAGCCCAAGGGAAGCATCTCGCAAATGGCCCCGAACAAAAACTGACGCGCGTTCCAGGACAAGGGACAAACATAATACATCATGCATAAACCCAGGGGCTTACCAGGAACTGTCTCCCTGTAAACCCTGATCCAAGTACCTCACAGTGTACTGTGTCACATCCTTAGGTTATTGGACGCTATGGCCGATGGGTATGGCGATGGGCACCAAAGCAATTTGCTTTCGGCAACCAGCCTGTTCGTACGATCATATTAGACATTCCAAGCTTTGTCTACAATTCCAAGTGGGTTGATGAATGTCCCTACAAGTATTCGTCCTTGTGTCTTCGTACCATGGCGCATACAGCTGCCCGTGGATTAATCAGCCTTGGGGCTCAATAGGGGGTCTGAAATAGGACAACCGATATTAATCAACCAGGGGTTCAGCTGGGTTCCATTTGCAGGATGTGTGTGTATGTGTGTGTGTGTCCTCTTTTCTTGTTTCGGGGGGGAGGGGAACGCCAGCCCCTAATTACCGCTCATGTTCAACAACTCCACTCTTCATTTCTTTGGCGGGGGTTAAAAGCCCAACCACGCGCTGAAGTCAAAAAACCGCAGGTCGCTGACACGACTCGAGCGCCTGTCTCAACCCAGTAAACAGGCCGGGCAGTCCCGGGGCGCGAAGCTTCCTGTCGACGGAAACCCAAAGACTTGGCCAAAGGTTTCCTTCCCAACGCGGATCTGTGTCCTTTGAGTCCCTTTTTGTGGTGCTAAAGGGAAAGCCCGTTGCCAAGTTCCGCCATTTTGAGGGTAGGGAGGTCCTTGGGCATACCAAGAGTGATCACCTGCACTGTTGGGCCAGGCAAGCCTCCAAAGGCGTCAAAATAGGACTACGCTGGGTCCCCCTAACTTGGCAAATGGAAAGTGAGGTGAGTCGCAGTCACAACAGTCCCAAGGGCAAATCTCCACACCTATGAGGCTGTGATGGCAGTAGAAGATCTACGCGGCAGTCGAGCTGTCGACCGTGATCGTGATCGACGCTGCAGGCGTATCTCAGGCTGCCACTGCATAACCCAACCCCTTGTGCCATGCTCGTCGACCACAGTGCAGTAGGACATCAACAGTTGGCACACGTCAGGATGCCCGCTGGCGGTCCAAATGATGCTCGTGACGAACTTGCTACACATCTCGATTTATGGTTGGGTTTGTCCCTTAAACCAAGGAAGAACCCCGAATCGGCAGGCAAAGGACAGGATCCTTCCGATTCATGCTCCCAACATCATGCCTTACCTGTTGAACCCGCACGTATCCTCCCAACCACTGGTATGCTAGCAAACAACTGTCTTCTTTATTCTTCTTTGCACCCCCAAACTGAACGGAGCCAAGGAAGCAACAATGGAGGCCGGCACTGTTCTATATATATATATACTTGAGAATACGTTACACAGCATCCCGCAAAGGTTTGAACAACCCTGCCTTCGACATCCACAAACAAAGGTACCCCTTTTGAGGCGCTTTCATGGCAGTTCCCACCCTTTGGAAAACAACAAAACACAACTTTCACGAGAACGGTGGCAAGCCATGGTTGAAGTCACGGCTTTTTTGTTGTTCCCTTATGGACATACCGCACCAGGCTTCCAATAGTATCACTTGGGGATCCGCCCGAGTGTAGGGCAACCAATCTGGGGGTGTCTCAAAATAGGCGCCCCCGGAACATGGCTGGGTTCCGTTGATTTCCCCTTTGAGCAACCTTCAACACGGGTTGCCCATGCTTGACACACAAACCAACATGGCCCTTTGGGGCAACCCGAGCTGCAAGTCAATCACCACTCCACGCCTCCTCAGCCTCTTTTGGCCTGAAATGCGCAAGACTGCTTCTGATGGGCGTCCGTGCAAGCCAAAAGCTAGGACGCTAGGAAACCCTCTTGATGTCACGCGCGACATGTCCAATGTGATGTCAGAACGACGGTGCAAAACAAGCATGCTTCATGGTACTGCTCCGTGGAGCCAGAGGGGCCTCCGGGATGACTGAAACATGGGGCTGAGGCCCAAGGGTAACAAAGAGACTCACTAGAAATGTGCCACCCTTTGGTCACTTCGGGGGATCAGTAGCTCAGCACAGGCCAAATAAGCAACTACTTGATTGTTTGGGTTACAACTCGGCTCATTTCCTTGCTTTGGAGCGGGTGGCAAAAATTCAATGCCCGAACTTGTTGCCGGCCACTAAACTGGTCCTCCTCCAAAGTATACAGTTCGTAGACTCAGGTAGGGCGGAATGTACCTGCAGACCCGCCATGTACACAGGCAAAAAGGGCGGGTAGATGTATCCATGTGATCGCACTCTTGGTGTTGTTTCGGATTTCCCAAACACTTCTTGTGGGCAACTACCCAAATTTACCCCAAGTGGTTCAGTGAAAATAGGGGGTGGGAATCACCTAAAAGTAGTGTACATACCGTCAAATCGTGGGTGTTGGGGGGGGGGTACCAAAAAAAGAGTAATAATAAACCTACATGGATGGTGTGGGAAGTGGCTGAGCCAGGCGCCGCAGCAGCAGGGAGTGGGCGTTGGCGTCCAGAGCGATGCCGTGGCTGTCCTGCGACAGCGAAACCGATTCCCTGGCCAGCTGATCTCAGTGGTCTGAACAGGGCTCCCTAAGCATAAACATTACATATATGTATATAAATTCATATTAAACTGAAGAAACATAAGAGGGACAATGGGAAATGAACCCATGACATCCCCTTTCCGGTGAAGGCAAAACCTCACCTGAAGGGTTTACCTCTCCTTGGTAATTAGGGATGACGTGTCAGGAGAAGTATGAGGTGGCATCCCAGCAACCCTGTTTGAACCCTTCCGGAACCCTGGCCCAATGCTCCGTTTTTTTCATGAAGAGCCTATTTGGGCAAAGATCCCCGTTGTGGGAACAACAATATTGAATCCTTTTTGGACACCCTGTGACCTGACATTCCTGCTAGGAATCCAGTTGAGTCATAAAACCCTGCTTGATTTTGATTGGGGGGGTGTCCCGGATCATCTACACTTCCCTATTGATTTTGCCAGTTGCCGACTTACTTGTTGAGTGGAATTGCCAAAAACAAACGAAACTTATCGTATACCGCTGTCATGGTCTTCCCAGAAGGTACACAATCCAGAAACGTGGGAAGTGAGTCAACGTGGGAGCAACATTCAGACCCATTGGTTTGTCCAACTGCCTAACCCTTCGTCTAACAAACCCATCCCCCACTCCCAATATGCACCATTGAATTAGTATGATGTCAGCCCCTGACAAAAACAAGGATATATCTACCATCTCAACATCCACGGGTATTTGGAGTAGGGCAATCCCTCAATGATCATTGTTTGGAGAACTGAGCAACTCCCTTCTTTCCTTTGGAACAATCAAGCATGTCAAGGGGGAAACATGTGGGGCCCGGCCGGGGAACCCGATGCTAGTTACGTTGGGGTGCAAATTGTGAGCACAAGACCCTCATGTTGGTACTATACCCTTTGCTTACCCACGAGGGAACTTTGCATCCACTTTGAATTGGCCATGGGTCAAAATCCCGCACCCTCAGTGAACATCCCAATCCCCACTAAAATAGGTTCTAAAATGGGTGGTGCACCTACCCCAAAATGGTACCATTGGCTTTGACAACCACAGCCAATTCGGTGTAACCCGCTGGATTTTGGGTTCTGCTGGGTGTTTGCTGCTGACAGGACGCAACCGGCAGGGCTCAAGCTTGGCGACCAGCCGGAAATGCAAACGGGTGAGACAATCAAACACATCAAATGCGAATGCCCCGTACTTCAGCATGACAGCGCGAAATGATTCGGTCAAAAAATGTACATGCCACCTCAGAAAACGAATACATGCAGTAATATATAAAGTATAAATGAATATGTGATTGACCGCTGCAAATGCATGACTAGTAAATGTTGGGCCCTAGATAATCATTTTACATGTATATGACTCAACAGGGAAAGAAACAACGCGAACCAGAAACCGGGACCCTTATTAACCCCAGTCCGGCAGGCGAGCGCAAACCCTGGATTTGATCTTCTGGGCATCTTGAGCCAAATGGGCATTGCCATTCAGCATGTTCTTGCTATCAACGGGGCCTCCAACATCACATACATGCACACCATTCTGGGGTGCCTCTTTGGGGGTCAAGGGGTCGTGATTATTCAACTCCCCCCTCCCCGTGCTCACTAAGAGACATGTATTGTACAGTCGCGCTTGAGCTGCGACCTATGTGATGCAAGGTCCTTTACCAGACCATAAGGAGGGCTTACCTATGATTTTGCACTTTTGTTACTGCTTGGACATCTCAGGCCGGACATCTCTCAGCTTTTCAGGCAAATTGGTTCGGATGCCTACAAGCTTTAGTGCGTGGTCCCATTTCAAGGGCTGCAGTGCCTTCGTAAAGATATCAGCTGCCTGGAGATCAGTAGCTACATACTTGATTACTACACCCGTGCCGGGTTCAAGTTGCTCAGCAAGTGCGGACAAGTTCACTTTGTGAGTGCGCTGTATGTGCCGCATTTTTGGGGAGTAACCTTTCTTGGCAACGAGGATAGTGGCTTGGTTATCTTCGTGCAGCACCAGCTCAACCGGGCGTCCAAGCAGACGTTCCCATAAGGTCAAAGAGGGAAGACCCTCTTGATACAAAGAGAATGTGAGCGAAACGACCTCGGCTTCGGTGGTGGATCTCGACACTGATGTCTGTCGTTTGCTCAACCACGCTAAAAAGAAATGGGTGTTCGGTCCTTTGAGGACCAGGAAGCCACCGGACGTGGACTTCGCATCCCTTTCTCCAGCATAGTCGGCATCCGCATACAGAGCGAGGTGAAGATCTTGCGGGTTGTCCTTTATGACTCCTACCAACCGGTAGTGCGTAGTCGAGTGGATGTATGCGATAAGACGGGCGAGTTGCCTATCATGGTTGCGAGACCACTTCTGCACGGCGGTTGCTAGGTCACCTATGGGCTTGATGATGTCAGGACGCGCTAGTCGTCCCAGCCATAAGGCCTTCATGAGGAGTTTGCACGCGTTTGGGGCTAGCTCACCAGCTGACTGATCATCTTCTGGAGGAAGTGATCCGTCTGGACAGAACGGAGTAGTCACCTTCCGGAGCTTCTCGGGCTGAGTGCCGGTTATAGAACAAAACAGTTCTACAGTTTGACGGGCATAGTCATTCATGTCAAAGGCAACGGCACCCTTTAATGCGCTTACAGCTGCATTCAGATCATGCTCTTGAGGTTCTGCGGGGCCATCTATAAAGACACGAGCACCCGAAAGATCGGCTCGGGAGGCTCTACATTTATCAATTTTGTAAGCTTTTCCCAAAAGGCTTCATGTGCATCTGCGGGACCCGAAAGGGTCAAGTCATCGACGTAAGTCGAGAGCATAAGGCCTACCCCTTTAAAGAAAAAGTTTCCAGGAAACTCTGGGATTTCTTCCCCTCCCAGCTGCTTAAGCAGTTTCTTAAGGTGTGCCTCCCACAAACCTCCTGCGTCAGGGTGACCATATAGGACACGAATCAACAAGACCACGGGTTTCACGAACTTGGAACCCCATTCCTTTGGCCGCAGCTCGGGTTCAATCCACGTCTGAAACTGTGAGCTAAGGAACGCCTGGACATAGGCTTTTACCGCGTCAGCGGTGGTGACCGTGTGTCCTGGGATACACCCATACGCCAGACAGGCGTTTAGGCCTTGTACCGAGGTGGGGTTGGCCCCCAGTTCCTGGTACACCGCGGGTGCGCCGGCTTCATCTTTTGCACAGTCTCCCCTAAACACGATGCGCCCCTTTACCTTTTGGAGGTGCTTCGCAAGTTCATAGAACTTGATGCTGGCGATCGTCATGAGCTGACCAAAGTGCACCTTGATCCCAGACTGTCGCGCTTGAGCTGCGACCTCAGCCTTCTCCCGGACAGTTGAACTATCCCATACTCCTACGTCTTGGAGTCCGGTCGCCTCCTGCTTGATTGCCTCTAATGCTTCAGGAGATGCAAGCATCTCGGCACGGGACAGGAGTTTGGTAACCATTGCATGTGCTTCTGTTTCGACAGCCTTGGCGGGCATGCCGACAGCACTAGCGAGTAGACCTTGGACGTCCAGGAGTTCCTCGACGATCTCTTTCGTCTTAGAGTCTGATTCAACGAGGAGGGTGAAGTCATCCGCTCCGGAAAGAGGAGATTCGTGCTTTAGGGATTGCTCCTTAACACGATGCTCCGTTTGCTGAGTGACTGGAACAACGGGCATTGCTTGAACCGGAGTCCTACACACTTTGGGATACAACGCTTTGGCGATCAAACCACACATTTGTTCAGGGTAGAACGCGGTGCGGGAGGTTCGGCTCCCTGCCGCTGGAGTATGTTTTTCGGACTTTGTATGCGGACACTGGCGATCTGCGAATGCTTCGGCAAGGGCCTTTGATGTAGTTTTGATGTGCCAAGGCTTCTTGATGGGTGAACCATTTTCATCCGTCAAGCCGACAGCACAGCCGTGGAACGAAACACCGTGGAACACGTCCTTGTGGCGTTCGAAGAACTCGGCTACATCTGGCCTTTGCCAGCCCTCGCAGTCACGTGGCCACTCGAAGGTGACTGATCCGCCGGCCTTCAAACCATGCTCGGCGTGCAATGCAAACTTTGAAAACATCACTTTGGACTGTTTTACTTTTTCTCCCAACTTTTTCTTAAACGGCTTACCCAACGGCTCAGCCTCTGCCAGGGCGATCCTGAGACACATGGAATGGCTGCCCACAAGTTGGGTTGGACGCACTGCGAGATTTGGTACGCGAGCTGCTCATCCGCAACGGCTGACTCTAAGTCAATGTACTCCTTTGCTAATCGGACATGTGGGATGTTGAGATCCTTGAACACATTACCCATTGAGGAATTGGGTGAACAAGCAAACTCAAACATCGGGCCAACAGCATCATGCGCTGCGCTTGCGAGCACGCTTATTGCCAACGGTGATTGGAGGGCGTTGGCCCCCCTGAAGCTGGCAAGGGTTACCGAAAACGGACGGCTTTTCCCTCGTGGTCTCAGCAAGTGTTGTGCTGGAAGCGGTTGACACGGTAACGGCTGCTCCTGAGCTGACTGGGATGTTACCCTCGTGAGGACTGAGCCCCCCTGCTGCGCTTAAAGCTGCAGCCGAATGCTCGGAATCACTATATAACCTAAAAATGGTTATGCCAGTCCAGAACGCAGGGAGTTCTCGATGTGCTGAGAATCTGCCTGCCCAACCATCACTGATATCTTCCTTGCTACCATCTTGCTGGGACACAACGCGAGTGGTCCTACCGGGCGTGATTCTGCACACTGACACGGGACAGTCACCGACATCCTTGGGAGTGAAAAGTTTAATCCTAGGCTGATGATGCACGCGGATTAACACGTTACCGCTAGGCTTATAAACCCATTCATCCTTCTTAGTTGATGCGGGGACAGCGTCGGTATGCGGAACACTGGGCCGAGAAGAGGCGGGCTCTCCAAGCAAGGCACGGACGATATCAGGGTCTCCCTCCTCAGGTGCCTCAATCTCTGGGGCTTCTGGAGGTTCCAGGGAGGACGCCTTTGCAGCGCG